CTTAGGAACCGATTGGCCATTGCATTTGCTGAACACTTGATGTTCAGGATATTAACATTTGATTTTGCTTTTGAGGTAGCAAAATGGTCAAAAATTCTCTCTGCCAAATGAGCTCATCTGAAGCAGGCTGGGAATCATTGCAGTCTTTCCGGGAGACTCTCAGTACATTTTTTTTTTTTTTTTTTAAATGCTGACAACATGTGGCAAGCTTATTAAAAACAAATCTGAAAGGAAATTTGAGAAAGTGAAATGAAATAATTTATATGGGACTAATTGTCATATAAAGTTAATCCTGTTTAAGGTGCTTTGCATCCAGAGAAAGTAAATATTTGTTCTATCCTGCTCATGTAACAGATCCCCTGCATGACAGCATTTTACAGTCACCTTCATGTTTTGTGTGTGTCTGTGCGTGTGTGTTAGGGAGGGAGAAGAGAGTGTGTGTATGTGTGTTTAAATGTACCCTGAAGAAAGGCACGAGGTAGGACAGGTCAGATTCAAGGCACTTAAGTTGATTAGAATCTCTCTCTGCTGCAGTACCTCCTCTCTTCCATGTCTTCTCACGATTCTTTCCCTCATCTACCCTCTCCTTTCCTCATCTCCTCCCCTCTCCTCTCCACTCTCTCTCTGTCACTTTTTCCGAGCATGCAGCAATTCACCAACCTTGCGATCCAACGGCAGTATGACTAAAGCCAGCCTCTTCCAAGCTCAGGTGAAAGGCTACATACAGTATAAAGCATTATTGTAAACTTATACTGGAGTCAGATATTCAACAACAAAAACAACTATATTCTATTTGTTGAATTTTTCTTCAGTAACATCATGCATAAAGGTTGACTTCATACTCCTGTCTGAGCATCACTGAGACACTGTTTCCACAGATCATGCTGTGCCTAGTCGGAAGCACGTATCATCTATTTTTCAATGTAAGGTTGTACAAACAGAGAATGGTCTGCAGCGTCTTCTTTGCTTGTTTTTTTTCCAAGATGGCCGCTGCTGTCTCTGTTAATGGCAGTATGGCTACTTCAATTTGTTTTACAGCACCTTTTAAAAGTATCATAGCATTCTCTTTACTGCCATTGCAGCATATAGTATGCCACCTGTCCACCACCCAACAGCTCCATTGTCAGTGTCTCTTGTTTTTCATAGTTGCACCAGTGTAATAGCTGCTGTGTTTTTGGTTGTGTTTCCATTTCCTGTGGTTTTTGCTCTCATCTGCCCACTACTTACTCTCATGATCTTTTGCTCATGACCTTCTTTGTCCCTTTTGCCATTTTGTGCCAAGCACAAGGTAAGTATTGATGTCAGCATTTAAAGTGAGCGCTATGGTTAAGTGGCTATGGTTGCACTGGGCACTCAGAGATCTGTGGATGGAATGAAAGCACCAATTCTAAACCAAATTTCAGGAAAGTGAGTCTACACTTGTGCACAAAGCATTTGGAGTATTTAGATTAGATTAGATTAGATTAGATTAGATTAGATTAGATTAGATTAGATTAGATTAGATTAGATTCAACTTTGTCATTTTACATGTCACAATACAACTCAATGAAATGCAGACAGCATCTAACCAGAAGTGCATTAGCAGTAACAATATACAGAAGTGTATAAGATAAATATGGATTATGTACAGTGGTTTAAATTGTGCATATTACAATTTACATTATATATTTTTATTTGATTCAACAATTCAGCTTAAAACACTGCTTCGTGTCAGTAAAATTACACTGCTTCAATGAAAATAGGACAAAATGTTAAAGACCATGTGTGTTGCTATGGAATAATGATCATTTTTTCAATTTCGGCACACTCAAACACAAAAATATTAGTGACTGTGCCATTAAATAAATTATGACAGAAATCTTTGTTACAACAAACAATCTTGAATTTGGGTCTTTCATAAAATTATTATAGGACTTCAGGAAATATGACCAAATCTTCTGGGTCAATAATATACATAAAGCAGTGCTAATATCTAATTAAATGTTCTTTGGCCATTTTCACCTTAAAATGGTGCAGTTCTACTAACTTTGTTTTCTGGCACAGCCTTGTTTCTTTAGCATTGTCCACAGATTATCAATAGGGTTTAAGTCGGGACTTTGAGAAGACCTGTCTAAAACCTTAATTCTAGCCTGATTTAGCCATTTTTTAAATATGTACTTTGGGTTATTATCTTGCTGGAACAACCAACCCGGTCCAAGACCCAACCTTATGGCTGATGATTTTAGGTTTCCCTGAAGAATGTGGAGGTAAGGTCCTCCTTCTTCATGATTCTATTTACTTTGTACAAAGCTTCACTGACAGCAAAACAGCCTAAGAGCAGCATATTAGCAACATCATGTAAGTCCAATGCCACTTTTACACTATCATTTGTTTCCATGTTCTAAAAAGAAAAAAAAGAAAAAAAACATTTAAAAAAGGAAATCAATTAAGTAACAACTGCAAAACCTGCTTCTGCTTTTACTGTCACTGGACATGTGATCAACTATACTTAGCCACCACAGTAATACCTACAAACATAAATGAGCCACCAGAAAATGATTGGTTAAAGAATGACCAATTTTGGTTAGCTTTATGTTGCATCAATTAGTTGCTTTGGCCTAGAGTTCTTTTTATATGTTGTTGTGGTTAGATGATCAAAACAAAAACTTCTCTATGTTCTCCAGGTAAAATTAACTCATTATTGAATTGGTGCTACAACTGCACTCACACCTTTTGAGAGTGCTGCTGTTATTCTTTTAATTGATGTGTATGTAAGTGAGAATTTTCACAGACATCTTTTCACTGATGCTGTTTTTCAAATGCATGAATGCATTTATCCAAAACAGTTCCAAACGGGAGTTAATTTAAACTGCAGAACGCCCACATTTTTTTAGAGTGTCTCACTATTTGACCAGTCAGTGACATGAAGACACAAACACGTAACATTCTCACAATTCTGAGCATGACTTTACCCGAGTCGAAGGTATCCATCTTCTGACTGTCTGTGAATCCCATGGACGGACAAACAGTGTGTGTTCAAAAAGACACTGATTCATTGAATTGCCAATGCATCACACAGTGGAAGAGCAATGATGACGATTGTTTTTCTCACCAATTCAGATAACCCTTCTTTTGATTTTACTTTTGTTTTTAGATTTTTGTTTGAATCTATGATTTCAGATCCATTATTCCACATTGAGAGGTTATTGTTTTTGTGTATTTGCATATATGTATATTTGTATGTATGCAGGCTACACTATGTACTGTATGTGTCTCCTAGGGTTTTAGAGACTCTTGTGACAGTTCTCGGGGGAGATATTTGTGTTTTTAATATTATTTATATGAAAAGAGGACTTCCTGCCACAGTTTGGCAATAGGGAACTAAGCACAGCTCACTCCATGCTGTGTTGTTACCTTGTGATTTTTTCTTTTTTTAAGAAAAACTCATGAACATCATCAAAACAAAAACACAAATTGAATCTGTTTGAACCAGATCTAAAGATTTGCTTTGTTAATCTGCTTCATATATGTAAAAGGAGAGAGAACAGAGTTGTCTCTGGTGAACTGTGACATTAGATTGAGCCGATCAAACAATTTTGCTCGTCTTTCTGTTTGAACACACCTTGACAAAGTAACCCTAGTGATATTACCAAGGTTGCTGCAGTTTGGAAATAGAGTCTACAAATGTATTACAGAAACAAACAGGGGTCGGGAGTTTGAGCAACATAGCTGTTTAGTGAACAGAGAGGAACAAGAAACACCACTTTAAAACACTTTATGTACATACGTTTTTAAAATCCATCTTTGCAAAGTCTAATTTCGCACACTGGGTACTTATTTATTTATCTTATTTTCATTTTATATTGTATATTTTGTGATATAGTTTATGTGTGCCTTCAGTGTTGGGTGTCTTGTGGGGTTGTCTGTGTTTTTCTTTTAATGTAGCTGCTGTAACAAGTAATTTCCTGTAAAAGGATCAATAAAGTAACTATCCTATCCTACCATCAGTTTATGTACATTATGGGAAATGGCAGATCCTGTGCTTTTGGAGCTTGGCCCATAAATCACTAATAAAGTTATGATTTTTTATACATTCTTTTTTTTTTGGATTGTACCTTCTAACTGTAATCAAACACTAAATTGCCACAGTTACACTTTAAGCCATGCAAGAGTCAAAAAAAGCATATATGTACTATTACATATACATTGCAGTTGTTTCCCTTCAGCATTGTAGGGAGAAGGATTACTTACCACATTTGAGTCTCATTTGCCTGATGTTGAACGTTAGCCCTAAAGAGCTCAGCTGTGTTAAATAACTACATCACAAGCTCAGTAACAGCCATGGTTGTTTTTAGATGCAAGGATAGGTTTCTTTTACCCTTACACATGTCGATGGGTGCTAACTGTGCAACACAGTCACTGGTCTATGAAATGCAGCCAGACTCCTAATGCACAAAGTATAGTATATATCTGTAGCACAGAAATTACAAAAGTTATACTACACAACCTCAAGACATAAATGCTTGATCTATAGTAGGATCATAGCCCATACTGTGTGATCACATAGGCTATTAGCATAACTGAAATGTGCTGATGAATCATATGCTTAGCAGTAATGACTTGCTATTATCTTGAGAGCTGTTTTATTAGTGTATTAGCTGAATTTATATCTTAAAGTATTTTTTTTATCTGCCGGTTTAACTGTTAGGGAGCTGGCTAGCCTCTGGAAACTGTAACTAACAGTCAATACATGTAGTATTTATACTATATGTCAATGTGTTGATTAAAGCCATAACATTTATTTGCACAGACTGAGCTGGTGCAGCGGTTTCTCTTTCCTGTCTTTTTATTCAATCATTGCATTAATCAGATAATTACTGAGTATCAAACCCCAAGCGTGAGACAATTTGGCATCAAAGGCTTTCCATTTCTATTTTGACAGGAGGATCGCAAGTGCTCTCGCGAGAGGAACTGTCAGTGCCATGTTTACAAGCAGTATTTATTAGCAGCAGTCTCCCCCTACTGTCACAGCGTTCCGGTCCGGCCGAGCGAATATATAGTGAAGTCGGTGCCGCTGGTAGGAGGCATTGTTGACATTTCGTCTTTGACAGTCGACTGGAAACCCCTCTCCTTCGTGAAACATTTTCAGTCGCCCACAAAGCGCAGTACGGACTCCCTGTTGGCTGTCCAGGCGGAGGGAGGAAAGGAAGAAATAAGCTAGCGGAGACGTCATTTGAGGGTTTTTCTTCGAGTAGCCGGGTAAGACTAACACTGGCACCGAGCGTTTAATTTCAGCCAATATTCGATAGTTGGTAGTATTGTTATTATTTGCCGTGTATGCATTGGCATTGCTATTACTCGGCAAAATTGTGGCACAATGAATGTCAGCAGTATGTATTTCCTTGCATCCTTTCTTGAAGCCGCGTGAGCTGCAAAGCCACGCAGCTCGTGCAGTAATTAACGATATTTATCTTGTGCAGGAAAGATGAGATGCCCTTTAATCTCTGCTACATGAACGGTATTTTTGCCATGGTTACCAGCCATTTTATCGGCTCCACAGAACCAGTGCCAGGTCAGATTATGCTACTGTACGTGCGGTTCTCCAACATTGGCAGAGCGTAAGGCCAAACTCCATTTAATATGCTGCCAATTTAAGGCTGGCTTGTGGGTATCAACTAAATTGCCAGGAGTAGTGCGGCATTTTGGCATATATATACACCCGCGGTGGAATAACTAGTTTTATCAAAATTGTAAGTTCAATTATGCTTGCTCTCTATACTTTCCACACGCCTATAAGAATGGCAGTAAAATTGCACTGTTCTATATACGTTCAAGTGTATTGACTGAAGTGTCGCGAATTTAATTGTGCGACGTGGTGAAATGAATTTGCTGTTGCCTCTGAAATGGGTGGCGACAGTAGTTAAGGCTATAGTGAGTGTAAGGTTATAGCTGGAGGAGACAGTTTGGGAAAATCGATGTGTTACGCGCCTTAATGGCGAGACGCATGTGTCACTGTGTGTTATTAGTGTCTGTCGTTACATACGTTCACGTTGCGGCTGCCACGCGCACACATACGCGCACAGTATGGCTGATGGTGTTTACTCGGCCTCCCTAATACATTTCTTAGAATATTTTTTGAATGGTTCTCATGATCTGACTTAGATCACTAGAAGTTGGTTATTGATATGTTTGTGTGCGTGAGTGTGCGTGCGCGCGTGCCTTGTTAAAAACAAAGAGATGATTTTCTCCTCCCACTCTGCAGCTGCAGCCCACTGAATGTATTGCTGCTGTAAGTTATGACAGTAAATGCAGTTTTGGCAGCTTAATGTGCACACTGCTTATATGCATTCTCGGTGGAAAGGCTGCCAAAGTTAAATCATTGCTTTAGGTCATACTGGATTTTCTCATTATTGATTGAAAAGTTGCAGTTGCTTAGATTTTTTGCATATATGATCTGTATCTGTTAGGGAATTTTCATTCTCTGTTTTTAATATCAGATCCCACACTGTGGTTTGTGTGTTGCGGCAGTTTTGCATTTTGAAAAGCTTAGGAGATGAAAGAATAAGGCCGATGTGCTTTTAAATTTTTGGGTTTTGTCAACAGAAACCCAACAAGGATGTGACTACATCATAATACTTTCTAACTTCTCTAACCTTTCTGTGCAACTCACCCCCAAAGTCATTGCTTCCCACTAGAGATGTAAACCTTCATGAATTGCTCTGCAGAGTATGTTGTTGCAGCAGGATAAAGAAGTCAACTAGTTATATTTTCTTAACTATATACATGTCACAATAGTACAGAACAAAACATAAACAATACTTTTAAACATGAAGTACTTGGCCACAAAAATGAAAAGAAAGTTGTTTTTGTAGATTTGGATTGGATTGGATTTGTATTTTTGTAGAGCATAGGGCTGTATTACAAAGCAAGTTTGACATACCCAGGCTTTCTTTGTGGAAGCATTTCACTGCACGTTATACCATGTATGACTGTGTTTGTGACCAATAAAGACCTTGAATCCTTGAAGTTGACTTGACAAAAACTAAAGCCCTAGTTGGGGTTAATATCACAAAGGTTGTTATCCACTTTCTTTGTTAAGTGAGGCTTTCTGCTTCACACTCTGAACGTGTTCACATAAAAGGGGACGTTAAATGTATCATGTGACTCTTCTTCCGCACAAAATGATACGATCGTGTGCAGCTGCCTCAGTTAACATGTTGTTATAATGGAGAGCTACGTAGAATATCAACATACATGACAAAAAAAATGCAGCCGCTGCAAATAATGCAATAGGTCTAACACTGTAATTTAAAAACAATAAAAAATCTAGGTGAAATCAGTGTCATCGATTGAGTATTCTCTGTAATGAATACCAGTAGAACAATTAATTTTCCAATCCGGTTTTTCTTAGCTGCAGTACAAGCAGTGCAAATCAGGATCAATAATCAAAACATATTTATGTGATTTCTGCATTAACAGCTGAATATATGTCGGGTTCCTATGGCAAAGCGACGCATACAGTGTGTGATGCTGTAACTGTGTGGCATATCAGAGGTAGTCGAGCAGAAGTTGTTCTAAAGACTGATGATTTGAGATAGATTGACCTGAAGTCTTTGCTGGTTTTATATTTAGCCTTTTTTTTTTTTTTTTACATCGCTATGGTCCTATCAGAGCACATCAACTCTTTTGGTGTGTCGTCAGCCCAGGATGATGTATGTATATTTGCCAGGGATGGCTTTGTTGGTTGAGCATTAGGCCGATGCCAGTGTTGCTGTTCTGTTTCGGTTGGTTCGATCAACTGCATTACTATTAGGATAAATTCAGTGTTGATTTTGTATCTTCATGTGATCAGGCGACAACAACAACAACAAAAAAATTAACATTGTCCGACTTATCCTGGCCATATCTATGGAATGAATGTCTATGCCGTAGTCCAGCCCCAACTCCACTGACCATCAGTGTTCTTACACTATGTAATCCTACTTATACATGCATTTATTTATTTAGCTAGTTAGTTAGTTACTTAGTTAGTTATTGTTATGTATATCATTATTTATTTGAGATAAACAATTTGAGAGTGTCCAGGACGCAACAAGACATCAAAGGTAAGTGTGGCTGTCATTTAATGAGTATTTAGTTCACTGTTTGGTTTGTAAATGTTTTTTCTGTAAATATGATAGACAACCCTTGACCGCATTATTGAGCAGGAGGATTGATTGTGCAATGATTATAGCAATGGTTTAGAAGAAGTATATTGGCATAATTTTACAGTTTGCATTTGATCTTTCAACAGTACATTGGAGTACTGCAGGGGCAGTGTTTCAATATGCGTCTTGACTTTAAACCTGTACAGCTTGTGGGTGGCTCAAGTGTTAGGACAGCAAGCAGTGAAGAGTTTCATGTAGGAGTGGACAGAAAAAAAAAGCCGTGCTGTTTTGGCTGAGTCTCCACTCTGACATTCTGCCATCATCTGGAGCCAAAATGCTTTTGAATCATGATAGTATGTCAGATTTCTGCTTTTGTTACACAAATGCAATTCTCTATATAAATATATATATTTTTAGTATATAATTCAAATGAAATTGTTACTGAAGGATATTTTGAAATATTTGAGTGATGGGGAAAATTAGAGAAAAGACATGACTCTGAAGTCACTGATCCATGCCAAATATTTGTTAACTCATTATAGCAATGTTTTAATATAAGTGAACTTTCATTTTTATAAAATGAGAAATTACTTGTCAAGAGTGATTTTTCATTGTAGTAAGTTGCCTCAAACAAGCCTCACATGTCATAAAGCAGATACAGTTTGTATCGAGTGTTTCTGGCAGACCCTAGAACTGTATGTTTGGGAAATTTCCTACACTGATTAGAGACAGTCCCCTGATATTTTTAAACATCAAGTTTAATGTCTGCGCTCCAAGCTCACTAATGAGTCAAACTTTGAAGTACATTCGTGCACATAACCTTTCAACATTAGGTGAAATTTTCAGAACTAAGGTACTATGATAGATAAGCCACAATTTTAAGCGCTAATGTTGTGTAAGCCCCCCTTGTGCCACCAAGATAGCTGTTAACTGTTGAGCATTGACACAGGTTATCCTGTGGTGGGCTGGCCAAACATTCTGCGTGATGTTGTGGGCTTGTTCCAGCATATTCTGTGAACACTTGGTCAGATTGGGATCTGGAGTGTTTGGAGACCAGTCCAACACCTTGGACTCTTTGTTGTGTTCCTCCAGTTTTTGAAGTTTGGCAGGGCACAATGTCCTGCCGGGGGAAGTTGCTGCCATCAAGGAGTGCTGTTGCCATGACGGGGTGTGCTGCGTCTGGAACGGTGTTTAAGTGGATGGTACATGTCAAAGTAATAACTTCCAGGAGCCAAGTTTTCCCAGCAGAACATTGCATTTTAACGAGGGTAGCGAGACCCTTTCCTTGTTTTAAATGTTTTGGTTGATTAGTGTATATCACATTAGGGTAACAATACATCTTAACATCAGTTAAATAGTATAAACAGTGCTACAGGAAGGGAAAGCAGAATGAGGCACAGAATGAAACGGCGTCGTCCAGTCTGATGGCAATGACATCATGGCAGGTTAATGGTAGAATGTTAATCTGTCATGCCATTTAGAGGAGTTTCAAGGCATTAGTTACCATAGAAACAGACAGAGAGTTGTAGTAAATTGACTACATGGAATTAAGTACTACAATTCTTGGAACAGAAAATGCTGGATATCCCCATATTTTACTTAAATACATCATTTAGGAAGGTGTTTTGATGCAACAGAAAGAGGGTGTACTGCCAGGTACTTTGAGAATCTTTTCCCCTATGTCACCTGACACTTAATAGAGGTGGGATTAATCCTCTTGAGTTTCCTGAAAACAAGGTCCAGGACCATTTAGGGACAAAATGTTTCATTTCAGTTCAGGGCACAAGTTAGTGAATCACTGAGAGCTTGCCAGACTTGATGGTGGGCCATTACAAACTTTATTTGTAGCCTTTTTTTGTTTGTCCTAAGCTTTTTGCCTATTTGCTGCCATTCTAAGCTGTACTTAGAACCTTCTAATATGTAATGATGTTTTGTTGTGCCAGACCGGTTCAGAGTGCTTCTGTAGAGGTTCTACCACTGTGTGTGTGCATTTAATAGGGAATAAATTGTGTTTTTTTCTAGGGTGAATATCAGTACACTTTGTTAGTAGTCAAGGAAACAGATAACAGATATTTGGAACTGATATACATTAAATGTTATATATTAACAACA